TACACAATCAGCCTGGAAATGCTTCACCCACCGTTCGATATCGTGACGCTACGCTGGTTTTTCACAAATCTCGTACGAAAATATCTTTAACGATGACGATAAACGATGATGTTTCGCCGTTTTCCAAAACACAGTATGCTTTCTCCTGTATGGATGACGCCATTTTGATTAACAGTGCGTCTAGCGGCGATTTCGTAATCTGAAGATTTTGCGCTGGTGCCAGATGCAACTTGTATAATTGCTAGTTTTAGAATTAAATCGTTTCCGCTTAATAAATGAGTTACAGAATTTGTACTATATTCTTTGTGTCTCATTCAATATGAAACACCCTGTAGTGTTATTCGTCAGAAGAATGTAGTGTAGGCTGTCATTTTCTGTGCTGCCTAGCGGTAGTGAATTTCATCCATCGTATCAGACTTCAGAGTAATCTATAAGCATCTTCTCCGGAAGATATAATCCTCGCTAAGGAAGGGCCATTTGTTTTTCGGATTAAAGGTTCTTTCTTTAAATCTTCGACACGACTACATAAGCACTAAAGGAAAATTCGCTTCCTTAAATCGGGCTGACGATAAAAAGCGCAGGGAAATGAATAAAAAGAAGAGTGAAAAAATGTTAAGAGAGAGCTCTGTCACATTGATAAATGGGGGATGCGCATCTCTCATTCAAGCCACTCCATCGGCATGCTTTCATCCCTATTAGCCGACACAATTAGGATCGTCCGCCATGCATGAAATTCGTCTCTCCTTTAGATATCCCCTCTCTGTCTCCTTGCTTCACTGGCGAGGGGTGGATGCTTTGAGGAGACGCACCTTCCACCCTCGAAACACGTGACTTTGTCATCTCCGATCCGGGACAGTCGTGCTTGGATCTCTGCCGAATAGAGAAGTTTTGCAATTCCAAACAGATTTTTCTCTTTCTCTCTCTTCCCCCCCCCCCCTCCTCTTTTTTTTTTTTTTTTTTAGTATTGCGTAGAGAAATTGCAGTTTCCATTCGTTCTTATCTCTTATTCGTTCTTATCTCTTATAATATTTAAATCATCATTTTTTTAAATAAATAAATAAAAATTTAAAAATAATAGTTTAGCGTAAAACATCGGGGAGATTAATTTTTAGTGATGTTCAATTAGAGGTGTGTCAGCCCTGATTGCCGCACTATTAATTTTGTGGATATAATTTAGCATTCCATGCTTAGCGTGTGTATCTCAGTAAAATCTTGAAGGAAACCTCTCTTCTACAAATATCTGATTTTTTTTAAAAAAAGAATCTGTAAAAATGTTAAAAATCTGAACTGTTACACGTTTCCCCCTTCTTCAAATAATATTGAGAAAAAGGAACCTCAAGATTCAAAATTATTATTAAATTTGATTTTCATTTATTGCAGATTTAAAACTTTCCTTTAATTGAAAACTTTAAAAATTATTACCCCTCCTAACTTTCTTATGTTTATGTAACATTTCCTTATGTTTATGTTTATGTAGGCGGGTTCGAATCCTAGAAAAGGCATAGATGTTTGTAACTGCATAGTATTTGTGCGGCAAGGGAGTACTCAAAATATACGGCGATCCGAAACTGCTCTCGAATAGTTGGTGGTAGGGAAAGAAAGGTGGGATGGAGTATTCTCCCTCAAAACTTAAGTCAAAACTGTGGCGGAGCTACATATAGTTAGTGAGGTGGGCCTATACTTGTATAACCTATTATGAAATTCTGGTGTCGCCCGCTTATTCCTGTACCTGTATAAATAAACAGCTGCGCAGATGGGACGGTGGTTAGTGACGCTGACTGTCGCACCGAAGGACTCTGGTTTGAATCTCGGAGAAGGCAGGGATGTTGGTAATTGTATATGGTATATGGCAAAAAATACGCACCGAGCCGAATTCCTGTCGAAAGGTTGATGAAGGGCAAAAAATGAGTGGGAGGTTTTTCGGACCAATGCCTGGAAGTGTTTTTATTCCTCCGAATCCCACCCGGTGCGGAAGTTTAGCAGTTAGACACGGCTAAACCTAATATGCCTACATAGTTACACAGGTGCCGACCTTGCTTTAAGCTGTACTTGCATAAATACACTCAGATACCTAACATGCATATAATGCACAACAACATGCATGTAAAGAAAAGAACATAAGTATGTGTATGCGCTATTTAGATGTTTTATGTGTAATATTTCGTACGTGTACTTTACTTTTTGACTGATAAAACACACCTGTAATTCAACGAGTGTTTTGAATTCCTGTAAAAGCTGTGCTCTTTGGAGCAAATAAAACCGTCCATTTTTTAAGAGGAAATAATGTACTAGACGTAAAATATGTATGCTTTTCTTCCAGAAAAATCTACCCCCAAAATTTTTAGTATTTAAAAAAATCCTGAGATATGTGTAGGAAAGCCGTAGCCTCAAAAACAGATCATGCTAAAATTGGGTGAAACTAAAAATAATGGTCTTTGCATGTGCTTGCTCTGTTTGACGAAACATTATTCAGTTTCTGCCGATTGTTATTGAACATGAACGTTTTTTCTAATAATGTTTTGTTTTCCCATTCCAAAGTTTTGAGGGAAAAATGCCATCTAATCGTGAACGATGTAAATCGCCATTCCACAAGTAGAATATTGAAAGCTACTTGGAATCTAAATGCACAGATTTGCATGTATATTCCTGAGGTATTGCTTAATTTTAAAGCAAATTTTCCTTCAACTTTTTCAAACAAAATTTATGAAAACATTGCAATTTTGGGGAGAATATCCTTTCTTTCTTTCAAATTACCCTAATCGGCACAGTTTTATTGAATTGTTGGTTAAAATTCATGCACAAGCTTCAAACAAGATTTTTTTGCGGCATATAAAAAAGAGGTGACTTTTTTTTTTTCCTTTTTTTGTAGCTGTTGGGGGGGGGGGAAGTAGACATTCTGATTCGAACTTCCCAGTTGAGATGCAACGCCCTTTACGCCAATTTATGATTATATCTGACGGTTCTAAAAGGCATTGTACCTAGCCGCATGTATAATGGAGTTGTTTCACACAAAAATGCTTGTTTATGCTTTTCTTCATATTTAGATGGTGGACAACAGTGTATTGCCTGGGTATGGTTGCTTTCTGCGTAGCGCACGCATTGCTCGTTATGCATGCCAAATTACCGCGGAGTGTTGAAGCTAGTCTTTCGGGTCTTCTCTTTTCCAACTGTCGAACCGGATGGCCGAGCACCACAACCGGTAAACTGGTTTAGCGAGTCGACCATTAGAGGGTGGACTGAAACTCGAGTCATTTTGATGCAATTACAACTAACTACGCGCTTGCCGCTTTTGTCCGAGAAGATCGCCGGGCTCTCTTTTAGGGCTTCTCTTTCTTTTTACCGCTCTTGTCTGTGCTTGTTATTTCGCTCTCACTCTTTAATAGTTTCTTTTTCCCTTTGGGCCTTAAGTGGAAAAGTTGGCGGGAGTCTTTTTTAGGAGGCGTTAACTCCGATGCCTATTGTAGCAGAAGACGAAAGCGCTTTTTAATGTCTAAAAGTATGTGATTTCGCGCTATTTGTACGCAATTTGTTGAAAATAATAACGGATTTTTGCTTTAATATTGTTTGATGGTGATGTCTGGATGCATCTCGTTGCCCAATTTTTATACAGTCTTCCATTTAGACGTTTTCAAAGATCCTGGGGAAGGGAAACATGAAAAATACTCAAGCCCTTCCTCAATTTTTTAATGCCTTGTTTCACTTCTTGAAAAATATATTTGTGTTACTTACAATTTTTTTCGTTTATCATTTGAAGTTGTGTAAATTATATATAACACTGAGAAGCTGTCGATATGTAGAAGATTACCTCCCTGCGCTGTCTCTCTCTGCCTCCCTCCCTTTCTACCTGTATATAGGTTTGTGTGTGATCAAAAAGATGTAGCAATGGCTTAGAAGGTAGATCCATATTGAAGAGGAAATTTGGTAGCCGAGTAAGATAATTCAACTACCTTTCTGTCGACAATTGCAGCCAATCGACATTTGCAGCCATAATTTATTTGGCAGTCTAACCGTGCCTATTCAAGAATATTTACGTTTTCGATACTGTTGCGATGCAAGAGAGCAGACCGAAACAGCATCTTGAAAGGAAGAGCGATAGAAGCTAAAGTGCTAAGTTCCAACATGGAGGCTTACCAAGAAAAGGTTTTGGATTAGGTTGCTTATTGAGAAAAAGGTTTCAGTTCTCGAAATTTTGAATTCAGGTTCCGAATTAGCTACGTCGTCAGCGTTATGCAAGACGTGTGACATAGATTAATCTAGAAATGACGCAGTCCAGAAAAGTTGTTACTGTTTTCAGAATAGAAAAGGGGAATTAAGGGCTATTGCTAGTTTAATTTTAAGACATATATTCAACCTCTTTTAAAACTGTATATGTCAAAAATCTGATAGCTGTCTTATTCCTAACATTAATAAATATTTGGAAAATCATTTCTATTAGAAACAGCATTTGTAAGATTGTGTATACAGTTGATTAAAGGTTTTGATAATCATAAGAATTTTATACTTTGTAGAGTCATTAGGATTATTTTGATGCTGAGAGACGTGAAAAATGAGCAATGCCATCGCCGGGACTCGAACTTCGGACCTCTCGAACGCGCCGAGTCTGCTGACCATTACGCCACGAGGGCATGCTAAGAAGGCGGGAGAAATACTTTATTAGAAAATACTAAATTATTTGAATTTATATTTTAGGCTGATAAACAGTTTTAGTAAAATAAAATGAATCTTCACTTTATTTTAATAAAACTTGTTTAGTATATAAAACGGCATTGGATATTCTTCAATAAGAAATGACCTTTCGAGCATCTGAAAAAGTCTCTTTAGTTAAATAATTCCCCAAATGTTATTTTGCAATTCCTGATTATATTCATTTACACTTCCCTATGTAAAATAGTTCATCTTATCTATTTTATTTAAATGCTTTAATTTTGTTTAAGATTTCTGTACTGTATAATCTTAATAAGGCGTAGAATTTTAAATGTGATTTTTTTTTCTGTTTGCAGTGGTGGATGGGACTCACGACCATGACATAGCAGACATTCATGAAGCAGCATGGATACAGATGTTCCTACCGTGGACACCGGCCAACAACAGCAACACCACATTAAGCGGGAGTCAGGCGACTCCTCAGCGGACCAACTACTACAGCCCATCACCAGGCGACAGCGACGCCTTCGGTGTTAGAGGGTGACATGACGCCAGAGGAAGGTCAAGAGGCGGCGATTATCGCCGACCTTCAGCAACAAACGAGGGTTCCTGAACGTCCATCAAGTTCCTCACGAACTCCTTGCCCGAAGTTCACCAAGAAATGCGATTCCTGCGGGCGGGAGTTTCACACTACAAACCATTACCTGGAACACGTGTGTGAGGCGTCGCAGCACGTGGGACTGAGTTCGACGACCACCCCTCCTTCCACGGACGGTGGTGGTAGTAGTAGACCTTGTTCTGTTCCTACCTCGCACTACCCGTCCGCGGGAGTCGGGGCCTCCAGCAGCATCTTCTGCAATGAGCTGTCTAATAGCTCCGCTAGCGACGTGGAGAATTTCACCGGAAAAATCGTCTATAACCGGGATGGGTCCGCCTTCATCCTGGAGACGGCCGGAGACTCTGAGCTCAGTGATGATGAGGGAAGTGATGAGTTGCTCACGCGAGCTGCTGAAGAAGCGGCTGCGAGGATCCCAACATCTTCGCAGCTTATTCCTCACATGGTGAATGCTCTACACATCGCTAGAAATCCTGCATTGTACAATGCTCTGTACGGACAAGCGTACAGTTTCCTGCAAGAAAAAAATAAAGTTCCTGATGTCCCTGTTATGCACAGTTTTAGGGTTTCACAGTGCGCAATATAGCCAGTGAAACTACAGTTACTACTAATGCTAGCAAATTGGACGAAGCTGGTTCTCAGAAGAGGCCATCTAGTGTCAATAAAGCTAACTTTCCTATGGTAGACTATTCTTCTGTACCCATCAAACCTATATTGATGTGTTTTATGTGCAAACTTTCATTTGGTTATGCTAAATCTTTCGTAGCCCACGCTATGGGCGAGCATAATATAAATCTGAATGATGAGGAGAAAAATATTATGTCTCAAAAGAACACTTCGGCAATCATACAGGGTGTCGGGAAAGAGAAAGAACCTCTCTTATCATTCCTAGAACCTATTCCTAGTTCTATAGCTCAGAACAGCGCCGGGAGTCAGAGTAGTAATGTCTATGCCCAGTCATTGCAGAGCTCATGTACCAGTTCCTTCGGATCTTCGGATCCTATGACTAATCTGCTGAATGCCGTGTCCAGTGCAGTGGCTGGGGGCTATGGCTCTTCGGCTATCACAACTTTGGTCTCTGCCGTCTCAAGTCCTGTGGCGGCATTATCTGAGATCAAACCAAGCGTCTCCAACAGTAGGGCCGAAATGAGAACCACGCCCGCTCTTACCAGTTCCTTACTTACCGCCGACAGCAATGAGGCCTTAGCACCAGAGTTGCAGGACCTGGTGACAATAGAAAAACTCGCGAAAGCTGCCGCGGCCGCTGCAGAGGCCGACTCTGTATCATCTTTGTCACCAAGGGAGCGCAAAACCACATGCTATAATGGCCAGAATAATAGTGATATGGCACAAGATGATCAAGATCTTAGGTTAAACCCATTCGATTACAGCCCCCATCCTACCATATCGTCGGCTGTGTCAGTGGGTTCTTTGGACCGACCTACGAGTGCCGGTAGTCAAGAGAGCATGTCTCCTGGCATGTCCAGGGTGTCTCCAAAGAATAATCCTGTTCCGAGTCCTTTACTATCTACAGTTCCTTCTCCATCGCCGACTACAAGTAGTCCTGTCTGTATATGTCCTCAACATCCGGATGGGCGGACGAATGGAGTCGAATGCCCGAAATGCGATTTGATCCTAGGTTCATCCCGATCATTGGGTGGTCATATGACTATGATGCATTCTAGGAATTCATGCAAGACGCTCAAGTGCCCTAAGTGCAACTGGCACTATAAATATCAAGAAACTCTTGAAATCCACATGAAAGAAAAACATCCTGAAAACGACATGAGTTGCATCTACTGTCTCACAAATCAATCTCATCCGAGGTTGGCTCGTGGGGAAACGTATACATGCGGTTACAAACCTTACCGTTGCGAGGTTTGCAACTACTCTACTACGACAAAAGGCAATCTCAGTATCCATATGCAGTCTGATAAGCATATCAATAATGTACAAGAATTGCAAAACGGAAATCTTCAAGCTGAACATGTTATGCCTCCCCAACCTCTCTCGGCTCCACCTTCAATGCCTACCCCACCAGCTGCTGAAGCCGCCGCTAAAAAGCCAATTAACACCAATAAGCCAAAAGCCACATGGAGATGCGACGTATGTAATTACGAGACAAATGTGGCCCGCAATCTCCGTATTCACATGACAAGCGAAAAACATAATCATAATATGATGGTCCTTCAGCAGAACGTGAAACACATGCAGCAGATTTCAGCTTTTCAACAGGCCCAAGCGCAAGCTCAGGCCCAAGCTCAAGTGATAGATCCTATGTTTCAGTTCCATCCTGGACTCTACTGCCTTGCGATTCCCAGTTGCAACCAGAAGCAGCAATAGCTGACATGGCTTACAATCACGCATTGCTCATGATGGCCACCCAACAGCAACAACAGAGAGCCATGGCTGCAGCAGCTGCAGCTGCAGCCGCAGCTAGTGGGAAAGGTCCAATAGGTGCGCCTTTAAATCTTAGCGTGCCACCCACCTTGGACATTGACCATCCTGACCCATCGCTGCGTCCTGATGTTCCTTATGATGAAAACGGGAAGCTTTTCCAGTGTTGCGTTTGCCACGTTTATTCTGCCGATACCATCGAAGCTCTAAACCAGCACGCTCAACTTGATCGAACGCGTCAGAGAGAAGAAGAAGTTCTAATGGTGGTTGCGGGTACATATATTTGCAAGTTATGTACATATAAGACGAATTTAAAGGCTAATTTCCAGTTACATTGCAAAACAGATAAACATCTCCAACGTTTGCAGCATGTTAACCATGTAAAGGAAGGTGGTCCAAGCACAGAATGGAAGCTAAAGTATGCCAATGTTAGCAATCCTGTTCAAGTGCGATGTAATGCATGTGACTACTATACGAACAGTATTCACAAACTTCAGTTACATAATGCAAATCCTCGTCATGAAGCAAATGCAAGGATATTTGCTCATCTCCAAATGGGGGTTCATTCCCTGAAAGCAGAAGCGCATTATTTCCACTGCAGGCTGTGTAATTTCTCCACAAAAGCAAAGTTCAATCTCATTCAACACGTCCATTCTATACGGCATCTTCGGCACGAAAACTTCCGACAGATGCAGCTGAGGACAGAAGGCCGAGAAATCGATGAAGATGTGAGAGATTATGTTCTTGTTAAAGAGCTGAAAGGAAATGAAAAAATTATCTTTGATGCGGATGTGGGTATGTAGCAGTTTTTCCCTACACTTATTAAGATCTAAAATATATATTTATTTATCAACTTTCCCAATTACGTTCATATTAGAAAAAGTACGTTACAGTAAATACTTTATTCATCTTTCGATATAATGTAACAACTTTTGTAAGACAGAAGTAATAACGGGGCATTTGTGTTATATATGTGATATTGAAGTATGATAATTGTTTTAGTTTCGTGGCTTTAATGGGTAAGATTCTTTAACGCTTAACTAGCTACATATTCATCCCACAACTTAACGAGCGCCACTAAGCGTTAAATCTCAATGATAAAATACTTGTTTTAATTATGTATTATTTTAATTCATATTGCAATGACCGCATTTGTCACAAACGCAGTGTGCAATATTCTTTGCGCCTTAATTGAAGTTAACTTCAGAAGTTAAGTTAAAAGAAAAGTATAATATTTTTTTGATTGATATTGCTGGATTCCCATCCACTTATTAGTGTTTTAAGATTTAGTTGTTTTTAAATTTTGTTTCATTACGTTACGGTCGCAATGCAATCTCATTTTCTTGCTATATCAAATGCTTCATTATTTTGTAAGAATTATATTAATTTTATTAACAGTTAAATTTTGAGTTAAACTTCCTGCCCTATCGATTCTTAAATTCAACTTACCACTTCCGCCCAGAACGTAGTTTTAGAATTACGTCTGAATGCTAATGAGGAACAGCGGCATTTGACCGCGAAGTTCTATAGTGAGAGCGATACCAGATATTCTGGCTGCACGCGTCCGCCTTTTTAGGCTACTCTCTCGTAAGTTATTATTACGCTGTGCCGTACTTTAGGCCCTTGATAGCTTCGCACTCAATTAGCGTTACGGGGCCAACTCTGTTAGAATCTTGATAGCTTCGGTTATATCTCTTTAGGTAAAATTAGTTTAATTTAATTCTTCGTCTCTTAAGTTCAAGCCCAAGTGTCGGCTTTATTGTACAACTCCAAGACAGAGTTTTGCTAAACTTTAATTGAATAATAAAGGGTTATTTCACCCTTCTTACTTGTTGTTTCGTGTACACGAACTCAAGCGATTATTCGCCTACTAGTTCTTGAGATTCTTCACACTCAACTATAACTTAGAATTACACAGTGGGGAATCCTACAGTTTCATGAATCACGATTTTATATTTTTAATTTTATAATTTCTACATGCTACCTTACTAGATTTAAATTGATGATCTAATGTCCGGAAAAATCCCAAATTCGGGATTGCCAAAGTCCCGACGAGTCCGGATCTCGGACTTTGTACTGTACTAAATAGAAATTTGTTTATGTTTAATATTGAAATCGGAACAGGAGGCTTGTAAACGTTCAATGATGAGTAGCTAACGCGTAGACCACGCCGATCAAAATGTATGCAAAACCAACCAGAAATCCATTTATAGCAGCAGCCATGATAAGTCGTGACGTCATACCTTGATGTTTCATGACTTCAATTTCATTGTACGTGACACACGCGAGAGGCTTACTCCATTTATTCTAACCTCCTTACTTGAGAATACTGTTAAGTAAAAGTCGAGTTGAGTGGATTGTGGCTGTTGAAGATTTCTGTTTAGAAAAAAGTCGAGCTGAGTGTTTTGTGCCTGTAAAACTAAAAAGGAATAAATTTCGTTTTATTAAATTAAATATTAAAATTAATACGAATAAATTTTGTTAAAGTAAATAAATTAACCATATAAAAACTAGCGGAAAGAAATCAAAATTTTTTAATTTCTAATTTTTAGAATTATTTAAATTCATAGAAGTAAATTGTGTGTGAGAAAGTTGAAATTTTTAAAAATCATTTGATTTTTTATTACTTAATTAATTTTTTTGCTGAAAAAAGGAGTAATATATTTGTGATGGGGGTAGAAAATTTATGAATATAGAAAAAAATAATGTTCTTAATTTAATTAATCATTATGATGTAATCTGTTCCAAGACCCTAAAATAAATATTTTAGGAAAATAAACATTAAAAAATCATAAAGGGAAAACTTTCATAGTTTCGCAGCATACTGCTCATCTTCGATAATGAATATCATCTTAATTTGAAATTTCGCAGCTTTTGCTTATGTATGTATAGATGTGTATATCATTATATATATCATTATATATACTTACTAAAGAATATTGATTATATTATCTCCTAAGATTAATTTTAGTAGAATTATCTGAAAAGAGTGAAACCATACTTAGTAAGTTCAATTTCGAAAAATGTTTTAAAGTAACTTGAATGTTTAGTAAGTTCAATTTCAAAAAATGTTTTAAAGTAACTTGAATGTAAACAATTTACATTCAAGTTACTTTAAAACATTTTTCGAAATTGAACTTACTAAGTATGGTTTCACTCTTTTAAGATAATTCTACTAAAATTAATCTTAGGAGATAATATAATCAATATTTTTTAGTAAATAAATTATTATTAACTTACTTTGCAGCAATTGCGCAAGTAGTACAATAACTCGATTTCGCACTAAGTGAATTTAAGATCATATCATTATATATATATGTATATTTAACATATAATGAAAAAATACAAAGTAAAAAGCAATTCAAAACCTAATCCAATTGAAGAAACAGTGAAAGCAGTAACAAGTGTGGTACAAATGCATAGTAAACAATAATGCATTTAAAATTGCAACTTAAATAATTAAAAATCTTAATTTTGAAAATTTTAAGCTCTTGTTTATTGTTATAAATATTCACAGCAAAAAGGTATTGCGGATAAGGATAGCTAATGTTATATATTTTGATATGTGTATATGTATTTTGTTTCTTGTTTTTCAGATACGCCCATGTTAGAGTTCAGTGAAGAAGAAACTCCGAAAGTTGAAGAGAAAGCAAGTACGCCAAAGCTTGAAGAAAAGTCGTTATCCGATTCAAGATTAAAGAAAGCATTACTTGAGCAGTCAAAACCTAGTCCTACAAGTGAAAGCAGTCCGAACGCGGAGCAGATGCATCGATGTCCTTTCTGCAATTACACCAGTAATACTGAAGTCCGAATACAAATGCATGTAGTATCGCAGCACTTGCCTCAAACGAACACCATTCCTTGCCCTTTGTGCCAAGAAGGATGTAAGGACATCGGTGCTCTGGAGAACCACTTGATGGATGTGCACAACGTCACCAAAGAAGGTGTGCAGCGTCTTCTTTTAATGGTAGACATGTCTAATATTGAGTCTAAATCAAGCAACCAACAAACGAAACCAAAATCAGAAGATCCTCCTACTCCTAAAGTTGAAAACCCTGATCCAGATGGAAAGGCTTCGCCTGAAAATAAAGAACGTAGCGTAGAGGAAACGGGTGAGGATTTGAGTTGTTCTTTCTGCAATAAAACGTTTTTCAACATGGATGATCTGTTTAATCATCAAAATGAATTTGGTCATATGGAACTGAAGCCTACACCATCAGGTTTGGAATATCAGTGCTGGAAAAAAGGGTGCATGCAATTCTTCAATACCATCGTTGCTGTGCAGCATCATTTCAGAGATACCCATTTTAAAAGGCCTTTGCTCGCTGTTTCAGATCGCCATGTCTATAAATATCGTTGCAATCAATGCAGTTTGGCTTTCAAGACGTTGGAGAAACTTCAACTGCATTCTCAGTATCATATGATACGCGCAGCTACCAAATGTGTGCTCTGTGGTCGCAGTTTTCGATCTGTGATAGCTCTTCAGAAACACGTTGAAACAGCTCATACTGACATGACCAAAGAACAACTAGAACAATACAAAGCAAGCTTAGCGAATAACCCTCTATTGTCTAGTGGTGGTGGTGGAGTACTAGATCCACAAACAACAGAATTACTGAAGAAGGAAAGTATTCGAGAAGATATGGAGGTTGTAGAGGATTTAATGGACGTAGGGGCTGATAAGGAGAGTTCACCAATTCGTGATATGGAGTGTGATCATTCTGAAGTTGGGGAGTCACTTCTGCCGGAAGGTACTGGAAGCAACCAAGATGTGCTTGAAGATTACATAAATAGCCAAAGTATGGCTGAAGATAGCTATAATGATCCTAATAGAAAGTATAAATGTCACCGTTGTAAAGTTGCATTTACTAGGCAGAGTTACTTGACGAGCCATAATAAAACATTATTGCATAGGAAAGGAGAAAAAATGAGTTACCCTATGGAAAAGTATCTTGATCCAAATAGACCTTTTAAATGCGATATTTGTATGGAATCATTCACTCAAAAGAATATTCTTTTAGTTCATTATAATTCCGTTTCACATTTGCATAAAGTTAAATTAAGTATGAAAGAAAATAACAGTAATAGCACTTCATCTTCAACTGTTGTTACTAGTAGTCCTGCTGTTAGTGGCACCGCAGTTTTTACCGCCCCTGTCAGTAGTCCTAGCACTTGCACAACGCCTAATAATTCTTGTGTATCTGACTCTGAAAAGAAACCATTCAAATGCAACATTTGTAAAGTTGCTTACAGCCAGGGTTCAACACTTGACATTCATGTGCGGTCTGTTCTTCACCAGACTCGAGCTTCTAAGTTGCATGAATTAGCTATGACGGGACAGATCGATCTAAGTGCTCCACTGATTGAGAGATCAGAACAATCTTCGAGCGAACAACTTCATTCACAAATGCTCGTTCATCCACCGGCTATGACCAATGAAAGTTCCTCTTTAATGCTGCCTCAGACCTCGCAGGTGTCGGGCCCGGCCACAAGTGTTCCTTCTTCTGTCCAAGCTCCAAAGATCCCAGATCTGACACAAGTTCCTCAGAGCACCCCAGCTTCGTCTGCGGTTGCCACTATCACCAGTGCCTCTCCTCAGCTCCACTTGTCGACTGATGCAGCAGTATCCATGGCGCAAGCTTTGGGCCTTGCGCCACCTGTTCCTCAGCCCCCCGTCCTTCTACAGTCTCAGGTGTCGTCTCAAGCTCTCATCAATTGCTCCAGATGTAATGCGATTTTCATGTCTCACGATTCACTCATGCAACATCAACAGCTATGTTGCTTTTTCAATCCGCCACCACCACAAACCAGTATGGGAAGGAGCACTCCTGTGTCAGCATCAGCAACTGTCCAACCACCTCCCCCACCTACCCCCATGCCAACAGGTCAGCAATCCTCCAACCGCCTTATATGCGGAGACAAGGATGACCAACAAAAACCATCTCTTCTGTACCAACCTATAACAGATTCAGCAAATGCTACCCCTCCACAGTTAAGCCCTCAAGTTAGTCAGATATCAAATCAGTTGCCTATGAGACCTAAATGTCCGTTTCCTCGACCAAGGCCTTTGGTGTATAAGCATTTGATAGAAAGTTTCGGCTTTGATGTTGTCATGCAGTTCAACGAAAACAATCAAAGGCGGAAAAAGGTTGAACGGAAAGAAACTGAAGAAAGCCAGTCAAGAGAAAATCAAAGCAAATGTGGAGAACCAAATAAAGACGATACGAAAATCGAAGAAATGAAGAATGCGCCATCTAGTGATGAGACTAAAATGGAAGATGAGAGTAAAGAAGACATTCCAGATCTACCGGAAATCAATCGATCTGTATGCCACATTTGCTCTAAAGAATTTACAAGCATTTGGGTCTTAAAAACTCACCGGGAAGAAATTCATAAAGAAATAGTACCTTTTGAATTCCTAGAGAAGTTTGCTGATAGTTTTAGGATTGATTATGACAAAAGGAATGCTGATCAGTTATTGTTACCACCGGTATGTGATGAAAATTTGAATGATACAAGCCCTCCTACTCCCAGCGTGAATTCTGAAACTCCTTTATGTCAGACACCTTCTTCCGCTAGTTCCTCAAATCAGCAGATACCATCTGTGACACCGCCAACTACAAGTATACCATCTCAGTTATCTGATGTTCCTTCTTCTGTAACAGCTAATCAGATGGCAGCTCAGCTGCAGTTTAACCAACTACTTATGAGCATGGGCCTGGGAATGGGACTTCCGATGGGTATGAATCTAAACATGCCTTTTGCAGCCGCTGCAGCCATGAATCTACATCCACCTTTGATTCCTGTGCTGTTACCACCACCAATGGACCCTCTTATGGCATCTGCATTTAATCATCCTATGATGCCTGGTGGGGTAGATTCCAGCTATTTTGCTGCTCAGCAAAAGATGATGCATCATCAACAACAACAGTCTGCTGCAGCGGCAGCTGCTCAAGCACAGCAGCAGAAAAGAGCTAGAACAAGGATAAATGACGAACAATTAAAAATACTTCGAACATATTTTGACATTAATAATTCACCCACCGAAGAGCAGTTAATAGAAATGTCAGATAAATCTGGATTACCTCTTAAAGTCATCAAACATTGGTTCCGAAATACCTTGTTCAAAGAAAGGCAGCGTAATAAGGATTCACCTTATAATTTTAACAACCCACCCTCCACGTTCCTGAATTTAGAAGAATACGAGAAAACCGGAGAAGCAAAAGTTGTGCCTATTAACAGAAACGATTATTTATCGAAAGTAGATGCCGATTCTACGAATCAAAGCGAAGATGGGCGTAGTATAGCTGATGATACAGATTCATCCCAAGAGGATAAAGATAAGCAGGAAAATGAATATCAGCCTCATATCCAGGAAGAAAAAGTACCCGCATCTAAGCCTGAAATTCCACCTTCTTCATTATCTATACCCGTATCCGTACCCATGTCTCATTCATCTATGGTTGCCGTTGATTTGATGAATACAAGCGTCAAAGATGAGGCTGCTAGAGAGGTCCATGTCATGCACTCTGAGTCCTCTACTCCTTCACCCCAGCCGTCCATCAACTTCAGTTCTGTTTCTTCCATCACTGGTCCCATTGCACCTTCAGCATCAACCTCTCCGCCTACGTCTGATTCTCCGAGGGGTTTTAATAGCCCTTCGTATTGTGGTTCCAACTCAGCCGGTGGTGGTACTGGCAGTGGTAAACGAGCTAATCGAACGCGTTTCACCGATTACCAAATCAAAGTACTCCAGGAATTTTTCGAGACCAACGCATATCCAAAAGATGATGATTTGGAGTACTTATCAAAGTTGTTGAGCCTCAGTCCTCGAGTGATTGTGGTGTGGTTCCAGAACGCTAGACAGAAAGCTCGTAAAGTGTACGAGAACCAGCCACCGATTAACACCGATGATGATAGTGCTGGAAAATTTCAGAGAACTCCGGGTCTCAATTATCAGTGTAAAAAATGCTTACAAGTTTTCCAGCGATACTACGAGCTTATTAAACATCAAAAGAGTTCTTGTTTTAAAGACGAGAATCCCATAGCCGTTCAAATGAAAGCTGCAACGGCAATTATGGATGAAAAATCGCAAGGAAGTAGTGTGTCTGATACATCCTCAATCACTAATAGGACGGTGGATAAATTTGGCCAGAATGGAACGTATCGGTGTGATAAGTGTAGTTTATCTTTTCCACGTTTTGATCTATGGAGAGAACATCAGATTGTGCATATCATGAACCCAAATCTCTTCCCAAATTATTCGCCGAATTCTTCGTTTGGTATTTTACAATATGAGGCTCAGCAACCTCCAACACCTCCACTAAAAAGAAAATTATCCGAAGAAGAAGAAATGAAAGAATGCGGAGACCAGCCCAAAGACAAGCGACTTAGAACAACAATACTACCTGAGCAATTAGATTACTTATACCAAAAATATCAGATTGAAAGTAATCCTAGCAGAAAAATGCTTGAAAATATTGCGAGAGAAGTAGGTCTTAAAAAGAGAGTGGTTCAAGTATGGTTTCAGAATACGCGGGCTAGAGAAAGGAAGGGTCAGTTTAGAGCTCATCAACAAGTTATACATAAACGTTGTCCATTTTGCCGTGCTTTATTCAAAGCTAGATCTGCCCTAGAGTCTCATCTTGCTACTCGACATGCTGATCAGTACACGAGGGGAGACATAAATATTGATTCTTTACCCGATGGTGAAATGGATTCGAATCCTGAAACTCCAACAGCATCCAATGCTTCTGAGGACGTGAAAAATAGTTTGTATCCAACATTTTCTTCGTGCACAACGCCTGCAGTTTCAGTGTCTAATTTTACCACTCAAAATCTTGACTCTGTGCAGAGCTCTATGAAGAAGTATTATGAAGATTCGCTCAAAAAGTACCTTGACGAATTGAGCACGACTAACAATGCTGCGAAGGAAGCAAGGAGTAGTCCAGTTGCGGATTTAAGCATGAAGCCCCAAAAGCAGTCTACTGAGAAAGCTCCAGGTCAAGCAGGAGATACGCCTTTAGACCTCAGCAAACCTGTCAAAGTTAGCGTAGACGTTGAGAAAAGCAGTGATGGAGCTCCTACTAACTTGAGCGACAAAAGCTGCGAATGAATAGGAGCTACGTTAGCTGTGATGATGCTAGGTCTGAGACGCACTCCGAATCTACAGAAAATATGGATTTTGACGATCATATGGACATGTCTCATGAAAGTAATCCAACATCGCCATCAAATGCTGGGCATCAGGGCTCGGGCGGTGGAAAAAGGTTTCGGACCCAAATGTCTACGATTCAGTTAAAAGTAATGAAGTCAATATTTGCAGATTATAAGACCCCTTCTATGGCTGAATGCGAGACAATGGGGCGCGAGATCGGTTTACCAAAGAGAGTTGTCCAAGTCTGGTTTCAGAATGCAAGGGCTAAAGAGAAAAAATCGAAATTGGCCTTTTTGAAAGCTTTTGGCCACGAAATGGACATGCCCAAATTGCCCGAAGAATGCACCATTTGTAAAGTAAAGTACAATATAAAGTTTTCTAATACAAGTATGCAAGATCACTTATTCTCTAGGCGTCATCTAGATAATCTAAAAGCACATATAACAAAAATGAAGAAATTGACCGAAGGTCAGGATAATATGGACAGACTTGACCACTCTCCAGCCACTCCTAGTAGCGTGCTCAATCAACTTGTCCAGTCACAGCACAACTTGCACCAAGAAGACAGTGATCTTCTTGGATCATCTGCTGCCTCATCCGGGGCCAACCCATCTAGTCTGATGCAGCAGCTACATATGATGGGACTCCAACAAATGCCGGGTATGTCCATGCCACTGGGCTTACCTGGATTCCCAAACGCGAGCAATGGTCCAGCAAATCTTCTCAACATGGGTGCGGCTGGTTCTTCACCGACTTCCGTTTCTTCTGCTCCCTCTATTAATACACCAACCTCTAAAGTCGATGCTAAAGTATCACCTAGTTCAAACAAATGCAATAATAACAGTGGAAACGGCGGAGAGAATACTGATTCCAAGTCTACTGACCATCAGCCACAGAGTGCAGCAACATCCACCACGAATCAATCCTTGTTACCGCGGAAGGAGGATAAGAAAGACATTTCAGATGTCATGAATGGAGGTAATAGCAGTGCGACAAGCGTCCATCCGCCATCTCAACGAGTGGGAAACATGACAGATTTCCCTATGCCAACTACTGAAGCTGGAGGATTGATACCATACATGTATGCTGGGTTTCCAGGCTACTATGCTGGACTTTCGGGTGCATTCTTCCACCCAGGCATGTATCCAGGTAGGAATAAACTATGACAAGATTCCCCATCTCCCTAATCCCTTTTAACTGTGATGCTGTATAGCTGTAGTAGTGCAAATTGGACTTACTTTTGCCTTTATTTAGAGACCGGAAAAAGAAAAGAACTCTATTTTTTTTTCACTGAGTTTGCTCGAGGCACAAACTCTTACATACATTTCTGGTACTCGTACGATGCAATTCCATACGATGTACATGTAATTTATCATTGTGTTAGTAATTTATTAGCCATTTTTTCATGCAGGGTTGAATATAAACAGCAATTCATGTGCTTTTTTTCGCAGCATTTTTTTCCCTTTTAAATAAGAACTATAAAGAGGCAGGTTTATTTATCACTTTTTGTCAACTTTTCGCAACTCATCTGCGCACTGCTAGGCTATTCTAATTATTCGTCTGGCATTCTTCTGCATTTCTTTTTTGGCATTCCTATTTTTTTTTTTCCTTGTCTTCTATTCGTTTTGTCACTAAATGCACTTATTCTTCCGAAGCCCTTCCCCAAAATTTTGCACGCGGAATCTTTGCTCTATTCACTGAGGCCTTCAATTTTCCCAACAATTCTAAATTTGGCAATTTTTTATGAAATTATGACATCTAACATTACTTTTAATCTCCTTTTAATATTTATCTTCAACTTTTTTTAAAATTTAAAGTTGAATTTTGCTTTTAATACCAAAGATTACGGCATGAACTACAGGGGGAAAGACATATTAATCTGGAAGTGGATTAAATACTGCCTATTTCAGTATATATACATACACACATATATATATTGATGTAACCTACCTCATTTTAACGTAATAAAAACTCGTCTAAAACCCAGACATTCTTGTATTCTCCTAAAATCAAACGTAAAACATAACTACCTCATGACAATAATCCTTTAGTTAGTTTCACTTTAAAACTTTCTAATATATGCCTTTTGGTGCCTTAGGGGGTAAAACGATGTTATGAAATTTATAAGCATATTTTAAAATTGAGGCGTATCAAAATCGTTATGCATAAATTTTATATATAATTTCTATTGCTCTAAATTTATCAAGTAAATGTAACATTAGAATACCCAGTGCAGTATTGTACAACAATCTGTAGTGAATGAACAGTATTTACTATTTCGATGGCAATGTTATGGTATATTGATTATTTTTTTTTTATAATTTTATGATTTGGTTATGTAAAAATATTGTTAACTCTATTATTGTATATTGTTTCATTGTAGTATTTTTGAAAATTTTATTGAGAAATGAAATCAAATACTGTTTTAAAGCCATATATAAATAACTTTGTTCTTTTTACTTCATCAGTTTAATTACATAAAATTACACCCTAATACTCTTTTTCTAAATTCCAGACGCAAAATAACTGTTGTTAACAATCTTTATATTTAGTAATTCTGATAAATATATTGCATTTTTAATCACCTTGACAAAATTCGAATTAAAATGGCTATTTGTTAAGCGCACCGCATTTATAAATATGGGCTTATCTATCAAGATTCGAGTCAAAACATATTGATGTCACTTAAATTATTTCTCCTTTCAATCAAGGGAACATTTTGGATGTTTCATCGATACGCAATGTAAATAATATTTCTTTGTAGTTATTTCCAGCAACTTAATGTAAATAAACGTAACTTAATTTATTTGAATATGGTATTATATTCAAAAAATAAAGCTAGGAAATACAAATGTTATTTTTATAAGGCTTTTTACTTTATCTTTGAGTGCCTTAAAATGACTGGGACTTTATAAAAATGTTTGTAATGAAATGAGTTTGCATGATGACTCTGTTAAGCATGCTTTTAGTCCGCCTTGTAGAAGCATGGTTGTTTTTTAGTCTTTTCTTCTGTTACTGTTCTGTGCTTAAAAATCGCGCTTTAAATTTTTCTGATAAAATTTATGAAAATTTTATGTGCTGGTGAATTTTTTTTTTTTTTTTTTTTTTTGTATCATTAGCCCTGTTGTTTGTGTATGGAAAACGTTTTTATTATTTTTTGTTTGTACATATGACGGAAGATGCAAATGCATTTTATATGTTTGCACCAAGTCTTGTATCAATAGTTCATAAAGTGAACTGTGTAAAATAAAATCGCCATCCTTAGAAACATGTTTTTAGTTGTGTTCTTTATTTCATTCTTATAGTATATATTTTTGTTTGCATGGATCATTTTTATATTTTTGCCTGTTCAGGCGTATCTCGTCTTACGTATCTCGGTACAATTCACTGCCACTTTTCCAAAATCAAGTGTAGTGTACTCTCGATAATACGGATTATTAAGCACTCGCATAGAAACTCTATGCGCGAATTTGCAAAATTTGCAAAAAAAAAAAAAAAAGGGGGGGATGGAAGGTCTAAATATTTACCACCAAATGTTACCAGTTTAATTCAACCGATGAACCGAAGTACAATGTCAACAGTGAAACGACTACTGTCCTCATTTTTCTCATAAGTCTTACAGAGGACGAGATGATGGTTTAATGAAGTTCTGAGTCTATATCGGATGCCATACACGGAATGGCAAAAGTTTGGTCCGAAAGTAAAATCGATAATGTTGGTTCGATTATGGAGAACAATTTTTTTTTCTAATATAGATAATCCGAGCTTTATCTAAATGTGAAGAAATCGAGACAGTTACATACCAAAAAATTCAAACTGTTAAATTATTTGAAAATGCTGATCCAGAAAATATCGATTAATGATTCGATGGCGATTTGACTCAGCCGGGCTTGCAATGCTTGAGTAATATGGATATCGTTTCAGATAGCAGAAAAATAGAAAGACAGAGGAGTAGGACTGAAAATGCTAACGAAGACGATACCGATAATTACGTTAGTCCCGAGACAGCAATGACTTCTTTGAAATTGATTCTAATTTAATAATAAGACTTCTAAAAATGCGTAGTGAATTCGACAGACATTTAAACGTTCTCAAAAACAAATTAAAATTATTGATTTTTTCAAGACATAAATACGTACAATATTCATGAAAAATGATAGTTTGGGTTATCCGTGTTTTTTCGATTATACGTGACCTGCTTCCCCAGCATTAGCTCGGATAATCGAGAGTATACTGTATAATTATTCTAGTTCGAAAAAAATATATACTTTATATTAAATATAGAACAATAATCTTTCTTTGAGAATATCAGAATTGTATTTCTATCTAGAAATTGCTTCGGTAACTTTAAATAATTAAAGCTAATTCTCGCTTAATATATGTTACTTATGGTATATAAATATCGAAATGTTTTTAACAAGAACAAACAATCTTAGAAAAGAGTATGCAAAAATTCTTCCGCACTAACTTTTTGTTTTCATGTTTCAAGTATTTGAATTTTTGTAAGTTTAGTAATATTAAAAATTCTTTGTCTTCTTCATTATTTACGTAAATTAGAAATGAGATCTACAATATGTAAAACGAGATACGTCTATGTAATCAACAGATACTAGTTATGTGTTATCATTTTCAACAGGTAGATACACATTTATGCGCAATATTTTTTTTTAAATTATTGCATCCAAACATTTGGAAGAACATATAAAAACAAATGTATAAACTTCAAACAATTTTACATTTTATGCATTAAATTCGTTTAATTAAATTTGTTTAAGTAATTTAATGTATAAAATGTAAAATATTTTGAAATTTTCAGTTGAAAAAGGTTTTAAATATTTGATGAGTTTAGTCAATGTCAAGAAGCAAATATTTAGAGGCACTCTCTTCAATAAAATTAATTTCCTTTCCTATGAAATGAATTAAAGTAGGTCGGTCCTTTCTTGAAATTGTATTCACCGAAGGGGTAAAATCTAATGGTGACCTTTTGAAAGGAATAAATATACTTCGATATTCTAAGTAATCACATACTCATATATTACACCCATTCTAAGTAATCACATACTCATATATTACGTCCATTGTAAGTAATCACATACTCATATACGTATTACACCCATTCTAAGTAATCACATATTCGTATATAAATCACATATTCTAAGTAAATTTCCCAGTTCCAGAGTCACTTAGGTTTTACATCTCTTTAATTTAGAGTACAAAATAGGATTTCAAAACGATGCAGTAATTTATTCAAATATGCTGGTATAGTTTTGCTAAACACAAATAAGTTAATGAACGAATTTGTGGAATAAGTTTCTGGCGGTTCAAAGCCAAGAAGTATTCTGGAGTTGAATTTTTGTTTCTCTTGATCTCTTTCAGATGAACTTGATTTTGTGTCCTTTTCAGTAGCATATCCAATTTACAACTGAATATCTTTCCCATTTTAAAAAGATTATAGAGTCTTTTCCATCCTTCAGCTCTAATATATTATCTTATTGATAGCTATAGTATTATTTTAGCACACTTTATTAGAGTAAAAGTACTTTCTTTATGTTTAAATCTTCTTCGTGTTTTTACTATATAAAATATTGGATGTTTTTCGAAGTATGCTTCCAAGGATTTTAATACTGACATAAACATTGTATTTTATAACGAAAGGGGATTTTACAAATCAAGGTAGGTGTTTTTTTAAAACAGTTTTTTCTTATGTATGTTATAAGTATATGCTTTAGATTTATATTCCCTGCATTTAGTATTTTCGTATACAACTGAGTTCGCAGATAAAAATTTACTATTTTTTAATATATGTTATATGTGTGTATATATATATATATATATATTAAAAATTAAAGTTCGTTAGATGTTCGTAGATACAACCTACGAACTCAGTCATGTGCGTAAAATAGATTGCGTATACAGCTGAGTTGTAGATCGACTGTCCTAGAGATATAAAGTTTCAGTAATTAAGGTTTACCTGAAAGGGTAATTGAAATTACACTTCTTGTTATACTTACAATAAGTTAAAAGCTGCAGTTATGTAACGAGCAGTCAACTGAAAACATATTTAATATAGATTAACTAACAAATTTTTTTTTCAATTTTTTACTATATTATAGCACGTAATATATTGATCATCTTAATATTTTCAATAGCATTTTAGTTTTTCGGAATGTGTTTAAATTTTACAAATTACTTATACTAGATTAATTCCGGAATTCTGGTTAAGATTGTTTATTTTGGTAATTTCTGTTCCCTGATGAGTAATTACACGATACTCCGCCCCCTTTCTTCTTCAACAAGATTGTTTATATGCATACGTTTCCTTTATGTTTCCAGAAATCGAAATAATTATATATATATATATTATGTCTGGCGTACAGAAAATCGAGTATTTCATATACAGTCTTTTCAGCAGCCGAATAATTGAGAAGAAATAAGAAATTGTTTAATAATAAAAATTAATTTAAATTATGATGATTATTTTGTTTGTCCGGAGTTGATTGTGTGATTATATATATGAAGACAGGGTAAGCTTAAAATTTTGCTTGAAGTTTTCTGAAACTTTTGAAAAGGTGTAATTAAAAAATAAAATATGGGAAGTACGTAGATTTCGACATCAAAATGCATAGTTTTCCATTTCTGGAACCTATTAAATTTCAAAATAATTTTGAGCTTTTAACCTAAGGGTGCGTATTCTAGAAAAAACAAATTATAAATAATAGTTATGAAAGTTGAGGTAGTACCCGCTGATATTATCAATCGATTGGAATGTAATATTTCTTCTAAAATTATAATATAATTATAGATTGTACAGACTGCAGTGAATTCGGTATTTATACTCTTTTCTCATTTTAGCTGTTAGTTAACTTTCATACAGCGACGTGATCATCTCTTCTAGAGACATGGTTAATACGGTCATGAGTCTTGTGATAAGTTAATGTGAGTGAATTATTTTCACATTCAAAATGTATATTTTAACAGAGACAAATCAATTATAAGCTTTAACGGAAACGTCTGGGTCGTTGGGGTTTTTCAGGAAATCATACTCATTATTTGTACAGTTGCCTTTATTAAATCGTACCGATGCCTTCTTGTGTGATCTCAGTGCACACCTTCAAGTTTTTATTTATTTGGATAATTTAACATTTTTGGAAGAATAATCTTGGAAATGTAGTTGCACATTTCACAATTTAAAAGAAAGGTAATGAACTAAGCTATGTAAGACTTTTAATAGCATAACAAAGAATTATAATGGGATTAAGCTTTCAGATCATAAGTTTAGATCAGTCATATGCATATAATTATAATTATAGTCGCTTTACGTAGAACTAAAACTAGAATTTAATTCCGGAGCTTCACTATGCTGTCATTATTGACTTACATTTTAATCTTTTATACCTTATTCCTGAAAGAAATTTAAAAGAGTTAAAAGGTATTTTCTCCCTCCTTCCAGCATGCCTTTGTAGTGTAACGGTAGCACACTCGGCGCGTACTCGGGAGGTCCAGGTTCGAGTCCCGGCGATGGCACTGCCCATTTTTCACGTCTTCTGCTTCAAAATAACCTAATGACTCTACAGAGTTATGGAAAAAATAATTGAAAATTTAGATTACGATCTTAACATCTCAGAGAGGTTTTTACGTTTAAATAAATAAAAATAATACTTGCTGTTTGCTAGCTAATATAACTAAATCTATGCTTTGAATAAGTTTAAAATTCAGCTCAAATGCATGACATGTTTTTTATTTTATTTTATTTTATTTTTTTTTTTTTTGTGTAAAACTGTAAATAAGAATAACGTAAACTAGTAAAGAGAAAAACTGGAAAGCATTAAAGTATATTCGCTTTAATAGGAGCTACTTTTTCTGAATATTACTCTCTGGTTCTAGGACTTATTAAATTGGATATAATTCTTTCACTTGAGCAGAATGACAACAGTCGGCGTTTGTTTTCTGAAGAATCTGAAAAATGAGATATCAAAAGAATGAAAAAGGAAAAAAAAAATCGTGAATATAACAACTGCCTGCCCTGATCTACATATAAATATTAGTATGTATCAAATTAGGATTTGGTATTGTAATGAAATTTGCCAACTAACCAATCAACTATCTACTTTTAGCTTATGTTATTTTCTACTTTCTGCTAAGATTACCGATTTAATACCACCTATTTTGCCCCTAGAGACGACATCTTAAAACTCTGCTGACATCTTCCATTAGCCTTTTGGTCTTCAGGGCTCTTCTTTATTGAGCCATTTCCAGCAAACTCGACACAGAA